TAAACTTCTTTCTTTCGTGGTGCAAATGTGGAAGTATCACCGCTCAGATAGGGCTGTCCTGAGGAAAGGCTTCCTAACTGATTTCATGGCTGTAGACAGGTGCTTATCTGCCATGCTGAGTCTTGGTTTCTTTCTCTGAAAAGTTCACAAATGATCTACCTCAGAGCTCGGTTGTGGGATTTGAATGAGACAACACATGTTTAGCACAGCGTGTAGAGAATGGTGATGGTAGCTATTCTTTATGTTAAATGACATATTTTACTGTAATGTTTCTTCATTGACGATGACTAGGTGACTCTTGTCACTGCATAATGCAGACTCATTATGGACAGAGCTATTGGTAACTACTTACAAATGTGCATTTTCCCAGTCACAGGGTAGCCTGTGTGTCTGCTGTGCATGTGTGGGTATGATTTTTAAAGCCACTGTTTTTATTGTAGTCTAACTGTGCTTGAAAAGTAGTAGTGAAAATTTTATTGGGATGTTCGAGAAAAAATTTAACCGTTGCCATTCCTTCTTTTATTTGTTCATTGATTCTTTGTTTTCACAAGCTCTGAGTACCTATCCTTAGCAAGTACAGAATCAATGAGGAAGAGCCAATTTCTGCGGGAGCTTCTTTCAGGTGGAGAAAATTCGCTAGTGACTGATGAAATAACAGTGCGAGTGGCATGAATGCATGTAGGCCAGGGGGACCTCTTCCGGCTCTGGAGCACTTGAGAAAACTTCCTAGAAGAATTAAAACCTGAAGGTCAGTGAAGTATGAGGAAGTGGACCAACAAGAGGGGAGCTGGTCAAGCAACTGAGGAGGTTCTTAAGGGCCTTTGTCATATACTGCATATATATGTGCAATAAGACACTATCGTAAGGGAACCTCTGACTACGCACCCCCGTGTGTGTGTGTGTGTGTGTGTGTGTGTGTGTGTGTGTGTGTGTGTGTAGATCAAGGTAAGGTGTCGTTTCTAATTGCTATTCACTTTATTTTTCTCAGACAAGGTCTCCCCATGAGTCTTGGGCTCAACTAACCTAGCATCACCAAGGGTCTTCCTTTCTGGCTCCTCAGTGGGTTCTGACTGAGCTGTTTCCTCATCCTTCTCTGAAAAGTTTTAGGTTCACAAACAATATTTTATGTAGAAATAAAGTGTTTATGATGGTATGGGGCAAGAAAAGACAGAGGGGAAGGAAGGAGGGAAAGACACAGGAGCTCTGTATACTCACTTGAGAGGAAGTGTTGGCAATCCTGGGGGAGGAGTACAAACAGAGTCTCAGTAGCCACGAAGCAGTTGGAAGTCACAAGACCTGCATAGCACTTGTTAGTGAGGATGTGAATGATGAAGGTGTAGGTCAGAATTCCTCAAAGTTTGTTTTAGCCTTCAAGGCAGATGTCATGAGTTCTATTTGCTGGGACAGGAAACATGAAAGTTAGGGCACATTTTATTTAGAGAAATGAGGATTTCCTTAAATGTGTATGATTTAAGAAAAACATGGCAAGTTAAATTCCTAGTAGTTAGTGTAATCAGTTCTTTAGGATATCAGCAGAACACAGATACCTCACTCTCATAAAGGAAGAAAATCAGCAATTTAAGGAACGATAAATTTTTTTTGAATTTTATTTTTTTCTTATCAATTACATTTTATTAACTCTGTATCCCAGCCAAGTCCCGATCCCTCATTCCCTCCCAGTCCCTCCCTCCCTCCCTCATCTCCACCGTGCCCCTTGCCAAGTCCACTAATAGGGGGGACCTCCTCCCCATTCATCTGATCCTGTTTTATCAGGTATCTTCAGGACTGGCTGCAAAGCTCTCCTCTGTGGCCTAAGAGGACTGCTCCTCCCTTGGGGGGTGGGGAGGCCAAAGAGCCAGTCATTGAGTTCCTGTTAGAAATAGTCCTTGTTCCCCTCACTATGGGAAACCAATTGGTTACTGAGCTACCACAGGCTACATCTGAGCAGAGGTTCTAGGTTACATTCATACATGGTCCTTGGTTGCATGTCAGTCTCAGAAAAGACCCTGTGCCCAGATATATTTGGTCCTTGTGGAGCTCCTATCCTTTCCTCATCAGACTAACTCCCCTTCTTTCTTATGATTCCCTGTACTCTGCCGAAGGTTTGGTCATGAGTCTTTGCTTTGAAAACACTGCTAGTTAGAGTCTTTCAAATGCGCTCAGTAGCCTCCTGTCATATGTTCAATGCACATCCCATCTGTCTTTCTAAATGAGGATTGATAATCTTACCCCATGTCCGCTCTCTTGATTATCTTTTTTAGGTGTGTAGATTTCATTATGTTTATCATATCTTATAGGTCTATATAAGTGAGTATATACCGTGTTTGTCTTTCTCCTTCTGGGATATTTCACTCAGGATGATCTTTTCTAGATCCCACCATTTGCCTGCAAATTTCATGATTTCCTCCTTTTTGATTGCTGAGTAGTATTCCATTGTGTAAAAATACCACAATTTCTGTACTCATTCCTCCGTTGATGGACATCTGGGTTGTTTCCAGGTTCTGGCTATTACAAATAAAGCTGCTATAAACATGGTTGAGCAAATATCCCTTTTGTGTACTTGAGCAAACTTTGGGTATATACCTAGCAGTGGTATAGCTGGGTCTTGAGGAAGCACTATTCCTAATTGTCTTAGAAAGCGCCAGATAGATTTCCAGAGTGGTTGTACCAGTTTACATTCCCACCAGCAGTGGAGGAGGGTTCCCCTTTCTCCACAACCTCTCCAGCATGTAAGGAACGATAAATTTGTAGGAACCCAAGATCTAGATGCATCCAATATGCTTCAAGGTTTAGAAAGAAGTTAGGAATGATAATACTATTTAATTAAACCAATGAATCCCTATTAAATGGTGAAGAGCTAAAATTTTATACAGATCAAATTTAACTTAGATTCAACACTTAAGAATAAGTTTTTCCATGGTATGTTTGTATAATGGAATATCATACTACTAGTAGGAAAAATAAATTTGAAATTCAAAATTAAAAAAAAAAGAATAAGTTTTTCAGAGACCATCTTCTTTGAATGCAAACATTGATTAAATGACTAAATGCTTTGGAAATTTCATTAACTTTTTCTTCTTTCTTTTTTTTCATTGCTTTCCTCACTCCTCCTGGTTCCACCCTCCTTCCATCTTCCCCATATACCTCCCCTCTTTTCCCTCTGAAAAGGGGAGTCCCTCAACCCCAACCTACCCATCCCAGCACATGAAGTCCTATGAGGAGTAGGTGCATCCTCTACCTAGCAAGTCATCATTGCCAGAGGGAAGTGATAAAAAAAGCATCCAAGAAGTCCTTGCCAGAGACAGCCCCTGCTCCCCTTACTAGGGAACCCACATGAAGACCAAGTTGTCCACCCTGTACATATGTGTAAGGGGCCTAGGTCCAGTCCATACATGATCTTTGGTAGTTCAGTCTCCCAGTCTCAACAACTAACCTCTCCCAGGTTAGTTGGCTCTGTTGGTCTTTTTGTGGAGATCTCATTCCCCCCAAGTCCTTCTATCCTTCCCCCTACTCTTCCACAAGCCTAGTGGAACACTCAGTGTTTGGCTGTGAGTCTCAGCATCTAGTTTGATCTGCTGCTGGGTGGAGCCTCTTAAAGTACAGCCATGCTAGGCTCCTGTCTGTAAACGTAATAGAGTGTCCTTAATAGTGCTAGAGGTTAGCTTTCTCCCATGGTGTGGCCAAGCATTGGTTGGACATTTTCTCAATCTGTGCTCTATCTTTATCTCTGCATATCTTGTAGGCAAGGTAAATTTTGGATTGAAGTTTTTGTAGGTGGATTGGTATTCCCCTCCCTCTGCTTGGAGTTCTGTCTGGTTAGAGGGTGGCCTCTTTAGTCTCCATGTCCCCCACTAGTAGGGTTCTCCACTAGAGTCACCCCCATATCCTCCCAGAATCCTACCCAGACAGGTCTCCAGCCTGTCACAGAGATGTCTCAGGCCACAGTTTCTCTTCCCTCTGCATGCCCTCTGTCCTCCTTCCCTTCTCCCCAACTCTCCCTGAATCAGACTCCCACCCTCATTTCCTTCAGCACTCTGTCTCTTATCCTTTTCCTTTTCTTGGAGCACTTTCCCTGTCTTTTCAGTTTGCTCTTCTCAGTGAGAAGTGCAACCTCCTTTGAGCCCTCCTTGTTTCTTAGCTTCTTTGTCTCCGTGAATTGTAGTGTGGTTGTCCTATATTATATGGCTAATATCCACACGTAAGTGAGCACATACCTTTCTTGGTCTGACTTACCTCAGGATGATCTTTTCTAGTTCCATCCATTTGCCTGAAAATTTGATGATTTCCTTGTTTTTAATAGCTGAGTAGTATTCCATTGTGTAAATATACCACAGTTTCTTTATCCATTCATCAGTTCAGGAACATTTAGGTTTCAAGTTTCTGGCTATTACAAATAAAGCTGCTATGAACATAGTTCTACCTCAGACCCAGCTGTACTACTCCTGTGCATGTACCCAAAAGATGCTCTACTGTACAACAAGGACACTTGCTCAACAATGTTCATAGCAGCTTTATTCATAATAGCCAGAATCTGGAAACAACCTAGATGTTCCTCAACCAAAGAATGGATACAGAAATTGTGGTACATTTACACAGTAGAATACTCCCAGCTACTGCAAAAGGAAATCATGAAATTTGCAGGCAAATGGATGGAACTAGAAAAGATCATCATGAATGAGGTAACGTAGAACCAGAAAGACTCACATGGTATATGCTCACTTATAAGTGGATATTAGCCATATAATATAGAATAATTATACTAAAATCTACAGACCTGAAGAAGCTACACAACAAGGAGGACCCTAGAAAAGATGCTTAATTCTCATTCAGAAGGGAAAACAGAATAGATACCTGATGCAGTGGAAGAGAGGTAACAGGATGGGAGCCTACCACAGATGTCCTCTAAAAGACTCATCCAAGCAGGGGATTGAAGCAGATGCAGAGACTCACAGACACACTTTGGACTGGTGTCCATTTCAGACTCACTTTTTTTCAGAAGAAACGTTAGGCTGCTAATCATTTAGATGTTCATAGATCAGAACACTGAGTATAGAGATAACATCTCTCCTCTCTGCCACCTGCTGCTGCACATGTGACACAGCAGCCCCACCTGCAGAGCTTGTAGGGGCAGGGCAGCAGTCTCCTTTCTTTTTTTTTTAAATTAATTACACTTTATTAATTTTGTATCCCCCTATAAGCCCTCCCCCCTCCCCTCCCGATCCCACCCTCCCTCCCCTTTCCGCATGCATGCCACTCCTTAAGTCCACTGATAGGGGAGGTTCTCCTCTCCTTTCTGATCTTAGTCTATCAGTTCTCATCAAAAGTGGCTGCATTGTCCTCTACCGTGGCCTGGTAAGGCTGCTCCCCCCTCAGGAGAAGGTGATCAAAGACTTGTATGAAAAAAATTTCAAGTCTCTGAAGAAAGAATTAGAGGAAGATATGAGAAGATGGAAAGATCTCCCATGCTCATGGCTTGGCAGGATTAACATAGTAAAAATGGCCATCTTACCAAAAGCAATCTACAGATTTAATGCAATTCCCATCAAATTGCCAACACAATTCTTTACAGACCTGGAAAGAAAAATTCTCAACTTCATATGGAATACCAAGAAACCCAGAATTGCTAAAACAATCCTCTACAATAAAAGATCTTCTGGAGGTATCTCCATCCCTGATCTCAAGCTGTACTATAGAGCAACAGTTATAACAACTGCATGGTACTGGCATAGAAACAGAATGGTGGATCAATGGAATTGAACAGAAGACCCAGAAATAAACCCACACACTTACAGACACCTGATTTTTGACAAAGATGCCAAAACCATACAATGGAAAAAAGATAGCATCTTCAACAAATGGTGCTGGTCCAACCAGCAGTTTCTTTTTAACTCTGTACTAGGCTTTTGGAAAAGCATAGTAAAGAAAGGGCATTCCCTTTCAGCCACTTCCGAGTTGGTCCTGGAAGCAGGAGCACACTGTAGTGACAGAATGCCGAAGGTTTGATTGTTTTCTCAGAAGGAAGAGTGTGATAGAAGAAGACAGAATAGGACATGTAAACTGTTAACTAGTGGATCAGTCTTCTGAGTTGTTAAACAGCAGGGAGACCAAAAAGCTACCTTGTATCTTAATAAATTACCATACCACTCAAACAAAATACTTCATCACTTTTTTAAATAAGCAAACGATTCTACTTTACTTCTGTATAAACTTCTGTTTACAATGAGAAATGTGAACTTAATAATTTGGCAAACAAGACACATAAACTACAAAGTCAGGAAATAATTGAGAGGGGTGTGGGGCTATACTGTCATTTGTTTGCTTGCCTGAACAAAAACAGAATGCAGAAAAATTGCTTAAGTGACTGTGTCTCTCGGTTCTCTTACAAATGTTCTTTTCTAATTTGAGAAATTAGCTGATTGCGTACCATGGGTGTCTCAGGGCACAGGGGTTTATTTTCCTTGTCAAACATCCGTTGGTTAGTGCCAATTACTGTTTATCTACAAAAGGTGTCCTGTGGGATAATCAGAGCTGTGGTTTAAAGAAATCTTCTGTTGGAAGAGTATGATCGTACTGTACACTGCTCAGGTTTGTTAAAGGATTGACAGGTATAATGCTTATGGAGTGCCAACATCAGTACCATGAAAGGAATATGTTAATGTGTTGAGACACTGTCTTAACAACTTTGTGCTTTATAATTTGATGTTTCCTCATACCTTCCTGAAAAAGACATTTTCATCCCCAGTTGAGCAATATGAGGCATTGAAAAGTTAGTTCCTCAAGGGAACACTGCCTATAAAGGGCATATAGCAACTAGCTGAAATCTCAGAGAGAAATCACCTCTGCAAATGTGGGCATAAGGACTTATGGCCTAGTTAGAGCTTACTGTGCAATTTTGTCCTGTCCTTGTCTATATGTAGTGCTTTCAATTGAAAATGGAAAAAAAGATCAGTAAAAATGGATTCAAAAGCATCACAATGTTAAGACTCAAAAAATAAGTAGTTAAGTCTATTGAGTAATAGAGGGTACACCTGGGCTATGTTTATCTTAGCTCCTTTTGTACACTACTGGAAAAATGCAGTCGTTACAAGCATGTGATGAAGCTGGCTTAATAGGCATGCTCTTAATGGTGTGCATTTTACTTATGAAAATGGAGATCATATAATAGAATGAGGGAACTCTGGCTTTGGAATCGAACTCCATTTTAATACAAGTCATTTGAAGCAACACAATTCAGAGCATTAAATATTTTTAAATTAGCAAAGGTTCTAAACAGAAGTAAACACAGGACAATTATTATTTGGAGTGTGGATAATTAAAAATTTAGTTTTAAAGGTTGTTTTTGTTGTTGTTGTTTTCTATAGGAAAAAAATCATCCATGGGTCATAGTAGTTACATTTTTAACCATTTGAGGACTTTAAGAAACACGCATCTGGGATCTGAACACAGTGGTTTAAGGCTGTATTCCTGAGACCTAGGAGGTTAAGATAGGAGGATTGAGTTCAAGGCCAGCGTGGCCTGCACACTGAGTTTTAGGGTGGCCTGAGCCAATAGCAAAACTACCTGAAAAAAACTGAATAAGGCCCTCTAGTAACTATGAAACCTTGCTGGAGTCCTGCAGCTTTTGTGCCAGGCGGGTCAGGTAAGTGGCCCAGGTCCCTGCCTGCCTGTGCTGTCGTCACACTCCCAGGTCCAGTTCTAGTCTCTCATGTTGCACACTATTCCAGCCTGGCGAGTGACCAGACTCCTGCCTGACTGCTCAGTCTCTTTTTCCAGCTCCAGCTGGGGTGTGCAGCTTGCCCATCTCCCCATCCTGGTGAGTAACCCAGATTCCTTTCCACCCACACTTCCACGTCTAGATAATGTCTCAAAGGTGGCACAAGGACACTTGCTCAAACATGTTCATTACTGCTTTATTCATAATAGCCGCAAACTGGAAACAACCTACATGTCTCTCAGTAGAAGAATGGATAATTAAAACATGGTACATTTATACTGTGGACTATTACGTAGCTGTTAAAAATGACATCGTGAAACTCAGGAACTTAAAAAAAAATCAACCTTAGTGAAGTAACCCAGACCCAGAAAGAAAAACATGTGAATTGTTTATATGTAAATATTAGACATTAAATAAGTGATAGCCATGCTACAGTTCGTAGACCCAGAGAGGTTAGACACAGAAGAAGAGTCTAGGGTGGACAAATGGGTTCTTCCAGGAGGGAGAAGTAGAATAGATTTCATGGGTGGACTTGAGGTGGATGGGGGCAGGCATGGAGGATCAGGCAATGAGGAGGAGGAGGGATGGTTTTGAGGGAAAGAATGTGAGGAGAGACAGCTAGAATTGAGGGACATTTGAAGGGTGGTATGAAAACCCAATGCAGTGGAAACTTCCTAAAATATATGTAGGCAATACTAATGAGGTCTCCTAATAATAAGGGAGGGATAAGGAGTCTCAACTGGCCATCTCTTATAACCAAAGGAGGCATTTAGTAATTGGACAGGGTTACATTCAATTGAGTTGTTTGCCAAGGGGTGGGGAGTTAAATGAAATACCCAAAGAATGCAGGCTGTTGCTAGGACAATAGTTTCCCCTCCTCAAACTGACAGAGGACACTGCCCATTGCCTTTGCCAAGGACAGCACCCACACAACGCATTGAACACTGTGTCCATCTGGCACCTGCATGGAGCCTCTAACTGTACATTTTCTAGTGCCTTTGGTGCAGGAAAGTACTCTGCAGGCTGCCAAAAGTGAAATAGAAACATCAATCCAGCCACAAAAACTTTGACCTACAGTCTGTCCTGCCCACAAAATATGTTAAGGCAGTGGTAGCACAGAAGTTATGGGAATAGCCAACTAATGTCTGATTTGACTTAAGGCTCACTCCACAAATAGGAACACAGAGACCTAGGGTAAATCCAAACATTACTGGTCTAAAAAAAGGGTGGGGGTAATCAATGAAATGACTCCTAATGATATTCTGCTATACTCATAGATCAGTGCCTTATCGAGTCATTGCCAGAGAAGCTTCTTCCTGCAGCAGATCAGAACAGATGCAGAGACCCAAAGCCAGACATTACATGGAGAGAGAGTCTAAATGAGATGGCTGCACATGCGTGTGCGTGCGCGCGCACAAACACACACTGCATATTGCCTTTTATTATTTTGAGACATATCCTTTCTATATCTAGATTCTCCAAGTCTTTTATCATGAATAGACATTGGGTTTTGTTAAAGGTACTTTCTGAGTACAGTCAGATTATCATGTTTTTTTGTTTGTTTGTTTGTTTTGTTTTTCTATTCTTGCATCTGTTTCTGTGGTGTGTTGCCTATACTGGTTTATATGTGTTCAACCATCCCTCCATCAGTGGGTAAAGTTGAGTTGATCATGGTTTATGCTTTTTGGTGTACTCACATATTTGGTTTGCAAGCATTTCTTTGAAAAGTATATCATTATTATTCTTTGAATTTTCTCAGTATCTGTTGTAATAGTTCCCCTTTCATCTTTATTAATGTGGGTTCTCCCTTTCTTTCTTTTGGTTAATTTGGCGAAAGATTTGTCAATCCTGTTAATCTTTTCAAAGACCCAACTCTTCATATTATTGAATCTTTGTAACTTTTTCCATTTCTTTTTAATTAACCTCGGCTCTGATTTTGATGATCTCTTCCCATCCCTCTACTCTTTTTCTGCGCTGTTCGTTATTATTTTCCAGAGCCTTCAGATGCAGCATGAAGTTATTAATGACATCTCTCTAGTGAACACTTAGTTTGATTCCACATCTTATTTACTGTGAATGACATAATCAATTTTATTTATGGACACATAGATTTGAATTTTGTACAATTTTCACAACATAAAGTGTTTTTTAGTCCGTCCCCCAGAGCCATTTGAAAATAAAGGAAAAACTTTTTTATGTGCGATGTCGTCAGCAGTTTCGGTTTATTGAAGAGTCTATCGTCTAGACAAGTTCTTGATACTCATGTAATTCTGAACTAAGAGCACAGGAGTGAATCTCCGGTAGCTAATGAGAAATTTAATTTTATCTCCTACAGATTTTAAAATTTTATGTGTAAGAATGTTTTGCTTGCATGTGTTCATGCACACCTCATGCATGTTTGGTGCCTTTGGAGGTGTG